AGGACCTGGGCTAGAAACGAAGAGACTTGCATGAACAAAAACAGCTCTGCTGTTTCCATCCCAACCTCTAACTGAAATTGACCATTTCTTTTAAGGATGAAAGCAGGCAGCAAATGGCATGCTGGTACCAGTTTCTATGGCTTGGTCCCCAGAAGAAATCACAGGCATTTCATGCCGTATTACGGCTGGGGCAGCGATCTTGAAGTCTCATTTAGATTCATGGCCACTCACAAATAATTAGTAGAGCCCGTTATTGAATGTGATAGCCGACAACAAGAGCAATTACTGTATCATGCAGTTTCAAAAATATTTTGACAGTAATATGTTCAGATAATTGGTTTCCTTCAATCCTGTGTATTTTATGGAATGAGAACTATTCTGAAAGGGGTCCACAGACTTCACCAGTTTGTCACAGGGGCTAATATGACATGAAAGTTCAAAACTCCTGCATGTGGAGAAGTGGCTTTTTGCACAGAGCATGTTATTCTAACTACAATGAGGCAACAGGCAAGCTGGATAGTCTTGTCGTTATCTAATGCAGGCACAAATCACGTAAGTGCCAACGTGCAGCTGCGGGCTTCATCTCTCTCTGGAGGCCCTTTATATGGGCTCCGTGTGACCTCACGGTATGACCTTGGTGAGTGTTGCAGCATTCCGGCCGCCATTCCAGGTCCTTTTCCTCTCCCCGGACTTCTCCCCCACTTCTCCGGTAAAACAGTAAGTGGGTAATCTCCATAGGCTCTCCAAATAAATAATTTGTAAAGAAACCTTCCATTAACAAAAGTCCCTGGAATTCAGCATGATGTTTAAAACCTGAGGATCCTGAGAGCTGCAATGTGACTCTGCTTGAGGCAAGGGGGAAGGGTGTGTGTCTGTGGTTCGTATTGCAATAAAAAGAACAGGATGGAGAGCAAGGAAGCCTGAATTCCATTCCTGGCTCTGCTTTTGCCTCGATGTAAGGTGCCTCATAAACCCTTTACTTTCTCCAGCCTTAGTTTTCGCCATTCAAAAAATGGAGATAATCTTACCTATCCCACTATATGAAATATCTTTCAAAAGCACAAGATTTATAAGTGTGCTCTTGTTAATGAAATAATTTATAGCAGCCGTGTGACCTTAAGAAAGTTCTGAACCTTCTTTCCCCTGTCTGTAAATTGAGAAAACTATCAATTGGAAGACAGAGTGAGAGACCTGTGTTCACGATCCAAATGCCCATGACAGCTGGGACTGGGTCAAGCCAAAGCCAGGAGCCAGGAACTTCATCAGGGTCTCCCACATAATTGTAAGGAGCCAGTTATTTAAGCCACCACCTATTGCTTCCCAAGGTGACCAATACATGGAGCTGGGATGGAAGGGCTCAAACCCAAGCCCAGTAAGAGATATGGATGTCTCACTGTTCCACAATCTTCCAAAGAAATGAAATCAAATGTTCTTACAAGGTCCACTCCATTTCTGAATTTCTAGACCATGAAATAGGAAACAATAGTCACAGAAATTGGAGATCTAAGTGAACTTAATGATCATAGCAAAAACAAAACAAAACTATTCAGGCAGTATTCTAAGAACTCACCACGTGAGGCTGGCTTTGTGGCACAGCACGTTAGTCTGCTGTTTGTGACATTGGCTTCTCATGTGGAAGTGCTGGTTTGAGTCCTAGCTCTTCCACTTCTGATCCAGTTCTCTGTTAATGTACCTTAGAAAGAAGTGGAGGATGGACTATGTCCTTGGGTCCCTGCCACCCACGTAAGAGTCCCAGGTGGAGCTCCAGGCTCCTTGCTTTGGCCTGGCCAAGCCTCAGACTTTATAGCCATTTGGGGAGTGAACCAACAGATGGTAGATCTTTCTCTCTGTGTTTCTTCCTATCTCTGTCAGTCTGCCTTTCAACTAAATAAATCTTTTTTTAAAAAGATACTTTGTGCACTATGTACTAATTTATTTAATCATAACAACAATCCTGCAAGTTAGGTTCTGTTACCTTCCTTTTTTTTTTTTCTCAAAGAAATGGGCACAGAATGGTTAAATGAGCTGCTCTGGATCACATAGCTACTAAGTGGTAGAGCTGGGATTGATCAGAACTCCAGACTCATGTTTTGCCACTATCCCATATGGTCGCTTCATCTGCCGTGGGAGCCAAAAAGACTTATCTAGAAGGAGCTACTACAACATACTGTGATGACTACTGAGTACTGTGACAGCACAGACTGGAGAAACCAACTCAGCAGAAGCAACTGAATGCGGCAGAAATAATTGTGACATTTATGGAGAGTCATCATTTTCATTCCTTATCACTGAATCTCAGGGTAAAAGCACAGAAGAAAGTAGAAAGAGAGGCTGGAGATGTGGGCCAAGATCTGCTTGGAGGACCTGTGTGCTGGGCTAAGGCCTTGGGTTGTATGCTGAAAGAGGGGAGCCTTTAAGGGTCTCAAAACAGAGGACTGGAAACCAGCATTCTGAAACATGGATTAAGCTGTCACTTCCAATGCTGGCATTCCATTCTCAGTGCTGGTTCAAGTTCCTATTGCTTCTCTCTCTCTCTCTCTCTCTCCCTGACACTCAGCCTTTCAAATAAAGAAGTAGATCTTTCTTTTAAAAAGCCTGAAAGATTGATGACGAACAAATTTATAATTTTAAATGATCACTTTAGTAATAATGTAGAGAAAATATTGCAAATGGAACGTACTTGGAAAACTACAGTAACCATTGAGGTGTAATGTAGACAGGCAACGACTATGCCTCCTTAGGACAGATGGCCTGAAGAGATCGCTAGGGAGTAAGATCGATAGTGCTTTACGTGATTGAATGTTAGTTAGCACAAAGAGATAAGAGGCCTGAGATGAGTCTTGAACTTCTCGTTTGGTTGACTAGGTATATAATAAGGAGCAAGCTTGGTGGTTGTGCAAGTTGTAGTTGTGATACTGTTCACTTTGAAACACCTGGAGAAAATCCATGCGCACGTGTTTGGAGTTGAACAGACTGCCAGGGGGTTGGAGGAGTAGGTTTGTAATCATCAAAGTAAAGGAGAAAGCTAAGTCTATGGGATTGGAGAGAAGAGGGTGGAGGAGAGACAAAAAGAAAATAGAACTATTTCAGAGGAGAATAAACATGAAAAATCAGGAGTGTGCTGGCCAGGAAGCAGAGGCATGAGTTTGTAGCAAGGAAAGTTCAGTAGGGACAGATGTACCAGAAAATCATGGACGGAAGAATATGAGCAACATCCACTGGGTTGACCCACACGGTCAAACTCTTTAAGAGCTTGCGAAGTGTTTGATAGAGGAGGGTAGAGCCAGACTGTAACCGGTGGGGGTGTGAGTGGGAGATAGGGAAGTACACAGTAGACAACTCTTTTGGATAAGTACGGTAGAGAGGAATGGAGAAAGAGGTCAACCCCTAGAGTGGGATGAAGCAGTGAGGAAATATATTTTGTTTCCAAAGAGGAGAAGAAACAAACATTCCAATTGAGCAGGTTGAAGGTGCAGAGAAAAGTTGCAGATCTTTGAAAATCTAATACACAGTAGCTTTCTTTCTTGTAACAGCCTCACAAGGGGGAAAAAATGCCTCATTTTTGTGTTAGAGATATAGGAATCGATTCCCAAAGAAAGAAAGAGGAGCTGGAAGCGCTGAGTTGCTACTCGAAATCAGCTTTAATTCCAAAGTTCTAGTCTTCTGGCGCTAACCCTTTGAATGCGTAAATAGTAAGACCATATATGGAGCTGGCACTGGCAGGTGGCAGAGGCCTAAAGTTGAGGGTGACCCCACCCATCCACTTCATATTTTCTTCTGTGAGGTGGGTACCTAAAGTCCCAGGTTAATAATAAAGAGGGGTGGAGTTGGGCAGCAAATAAAAGGAGATGTGAGGACCTGACATCTTGGCTGCAGGGTATGGGAGAACAGGAAGATGAGCTCTGAAAATCCTACCAGCTTGCTTGAGGACGTTTAAAACAGGTGGGTCACCTTGATTTTGGCACACTAGAAGCAGGACTTTTAAGGTCAGGGTTAGGATGAATCAGTCATTGGGCCATAGATGATTTTATGAGGTCAGAGGAGTGTGGAGGGAGAAGAACTGAGGGTTAAGGCTTCAGGCTGCACTGAGCAGAGAAGAGGAGAAAATTCTTGAGCCAGGAGGATGGGAAAGTAGTGAGTTCTGAGGAGGTGCTGGCCATCAAAGGGACTCCTGGAGGGAAATGGACCTAAGGGGAAAACTGATCAGTAAACTAGAGAGTATATCCTACCCTGGAAACAATTGTTACCATTACGTTTGCCTACATTTTCCTGAATGTGAGTTCTTTGTAGTATCCCTTCTGTATTTAATCAGTACATTTTGTATTTAATCACCCATCTCTTGAGCAGCTCTGTTCCTGAAACATGGGATCTGACAAGTCCTTCCAGAAAGTTTGAGGAGGCACAGATTTTGTCAGATCTGCACATTAAATGTAACTAGTAGATTGAAAGGTGCAGTCAAGCAACTGATGTCAAGAGGTGCGGAATGATAACTTCACAGCACAAAGCACCATTCTGTTGGCCTAGCAACTGCTGGACAGGTCACCTCATTAATAATATCCACATTCTGAATTCATCCTCAGCCATGGTGTAGGCCCTCCTGGGAATGGGGGAATACAAAATGGTATAGAGTCTTGGCTCTGGAATTTATATGCCAGTGGGGTACACATAAGTCAACACTGGGGTGTGAAATTTCATAGCTCAAGTCTAGTTTTGACCCTTTGGAACCCTGGGACAGGGAGAGGTGGAGAAGAAGTTTCCCTGGTAGTGTAAATTTGAGGGCTAGGCACAATGGGAAGAGTCTGAATCAAGCTGTAAAATGGCTTGACCTTCTTTGGAATTGTCAGTGGGGGTCTAAAATAAGACAGTACAAGTGGAAGAGAAAAGAAGACTTCCGGGTGAGTGGCACTATTGGAAAGGGCACGAAGCAAAGAATTCAAGTGAGGGCTGACGCTAGCAGGCTTTAGATAAGGACCCCCAGTCTCTTTCCCTTTTTGTCACCCACAGATTTGGCATTTTTTTTCCCTGCTCATAATGAGAATAGTCCTCTTCCAATCAGCCAAAATGAACCTCATGGACATCACCAAGATTTTCTCCCTCCTGCAGCCCGATAAGGAGGAGGAGGACACCAACACGGGGGAGAAGCAGGCTCTCAATCAAGCAGTGTATGACAACGACTCTCACACCTTGGACCAGCTTTTGCGCCAGGAGCGTTACAAACGTTTTATTAACAGCAGGAGTGGCTGGGGCGTTCCTGGAACACCTCTGCGCCTGGCCGCTTCTTATGGCCACTTGAGCTGCTTGCGGGTCCTCCTGGCACATGGTGCTGATGTGGACAGTTTGGACGTCAAGGCACAGACCCCACTTTTCACTGCTGTCAGTCATGGCCATCTGGACTGTGTGCGGGTGCTTTTGGAAGCTGGGGCCTGTCCTGGTGGAAGCATCTACAACAATTGTTCTCCTGTGCTCACTGCCGCCCGTGACGGTGCTGTTGCTATCCTGCAGGAGCTCCTAGGTCATGGTGCTGAGGTAAACGTCAAGGCTAAACTACCAGTCTGGGCATCAAACATTGCTTCGTGTTCCGGCCCCCTCTATTTGGCCGCAGTCTATGGACACCTTGACTGTTTCCGCCTGCTTTTGCTCTATGGGGCAGACCCTGACTACAACTGCACTGATCGGGGTCTATTGGCGCGTGTTCCACGGCCCCGCAGTCTCCTTGAAATCTGTCTCCACCATAACTGTGAGCCAGAGTACATCCAGCTGTTAATTGATTTTGGTGCTAACATCTACCTTCCATCTCTACCCCTGGATACAGCCTCACAAAATGATAAAGGTGTTGCATTGCTGCTACAGGCTCGAGGTGAGTGCCGAGTAACCCAACCCTGTGGGCCTTTTGGCTTGGAGATGCTAAGGCCCAAAATCACGATCCAAATCAGTCCTCTGAGTTGAGCCTGAGAAAACTCCCACCGTCCTCCCTCTCATAGGGCCATAGTGGAAAAGTGGTTACAGATTCTATGTTAGGGAAATGATCACCAAGATGAGATGAAGGGTAGCCTTAGACCAATTTTTGGTCTTGGTTCTGTCATTCACTGTTTCATGGCTCAGAGGATGCCCTCCCTGGTCCTCGGTGTGAACCTATTGTTGCTCTGCATGGAGGGGCAGGGTGGGGTAGGCTTGAATGAATGAATTATGCTGAGAATTGTTCTTCATGTCTCTCCTTGCCATAGCCAGTCCACAGTCGCTGCTATCCCAGGCGCGTTTAGTTATCCGCAGAGCCCTGCGCCAGGCTGGCCAGCCACAAGCCATCGACCAGCTGGATATTCCCCCCACGTTGATTAGCTACCTCAAACATCAACTGTAATCTTGCATTATGCCCCGAAATCGAAGACGACTCCAAAAACCACCTGGGGGCCCAGGTAGCTGGAGAGCACCACGACTCCTCCTACTCACCTTGTCATGCCCTCCTGAATTATCCTCCACAATAAAGTCCTCAGCAAAATAAGCTCTGCTGCTTACTGTGTCTGTCACGTGTGGGATGGTGAGGCATGAAAGAAGGGGCCTGACTGGCCATGGGAAAACATGGTAACAGCCTGGCGTCTGACAGGCACAGGAGTCTTGACCACTGAAAGAGCAAAAGAGAAAACTAATCCAATGGTCTAGGGTCTCTAACCTCCCCCACCAAGATCCTCTAGAGTTTGGAGCTCTGTTGTCCTGGAACAAAGGACCTGAAAAATTCCAAGTAGATGAAAAGGTAGAATCAACTCACCTAACCCTGGGCCTCCTTTATGTTTTTTTTAAAGATTTGTTTATTTTTATTACAAAGTCAGATACACAGAAAGGAGGAGAGACAGAGAGGAAGATCTTCCGTCCAATGATTCACTCCCCAAGTGACCCCTATGGGCCGGTGCTGCGCCAATCCGATGCCAGGAGCCAGGTGCGTCTTCCGGGTCTCCCACACAGGTGCAGGGTCCCAAGGCTTTGGGCCATCCTCGACTGCTTTCCCAGACCACAAGCAGGGAGCTGGATTGGGAGTGGAGCTGCCGGGATTAGAACCGGCGCCCCTGTGGGATCCCGGCGAGTACAAGGTGAGGACTTTAGCTGCTAGGCCACCACACTGGGCCTCTAGGCCTCCTTTAGCTGCCCTGGCTACTGCAAAGCACTTTTCAGAGACTATACCTGTGTCCCTCATTACTTGGAATCAATGATCTAAGGAGCTTCCTATCAACTCATCTTGAATCACAGGTTTCATTTTTCACCAGTTCATTTTATAGTCAAGATACAACGGGGAAAACAAATCCCCAAATAGTTATGGCAAGGAATTTTGTGCAGAAAAGAAATTAACTACATATTTGGTAGGCTGATAACTGAACCAAAACAATCAGGGAACCCAGATATTAGCAGCAGGAAGCCATTGTCATCCTCTAGCTGGAGGGGTGACAAAGCAGGTATTCCTAGAATTCAGAGATAAGAATAATCTCAAGGAAAATGGAACCACAAGCCTGTCTGTGCGAGCTAGAGAACTGCTGCCCAAATCAGAAGAAACATATGGCATCTCCTTTCCTTTATTTCTGATCTCCAACGTGTCTGTCATTGGGGAAACCAGAAGTCAACAAATATGAAGGCGTAGGAAAGTCTACAGGGGAGAGTTCTCTTATCATACAGGACCTATCATGGAGAGGTAAAGAATTAAGGTGCAGTGGGAGGGGTTGGTGTAAGCTAGGAGCTGCAGTCACACGGTGGAGTTGCCAGCAGGAGCCATGGAAGAGATACTACTAAACCAGCATCCAAGAAGGAGAAGGCTAAGGCAGAATATGTGCCTCATTGGTTGAACCTAGCCAGACAGAGTTGATTCAGGAGCCTGAGAAATACAACCAGAAAGGGGTCAGACGCTCTGACGTCCACCAAATTCAGGTACCTTCATTTTGCTACACCTCCATCCTTTCACAGAACCTTCTGGTGTTTCCTCCACTGTGGCTGGGGATGTGGTGAGCAGTGAAAGAACGCAAGGTGTGTCACGATGGAAAGCCCAGACAATCTGCCTCCAGGAAACACTTTAGATGTTTAGAGGTCCTCCAGGGAGCTGCCTAGATATTCGTATGACATCCTATTCTGGGGAGGGGAGCAGGGCACAGAACCTTAAACTGACTTGACCTCTCTCATGTCTCTTACTCTCCCCAGCTACTAGTGCTTGACTGTGGGGAAAGGTGAGAAAATCACATTTACCTCCATGCTCCTGCCATGCTCAGTCCTCCTTCTAGGCTTGTGTTTGCAGGTACTGGGAAAGCATACCAGCCTTAATCTCCTTGGAGCATGAGGGTTGAAGGCCTGAGCTACACGCACAGACAAAAGGCTTCATGGGAGGCACCCTGAGCCGTCTTCTACCTGTTCTGATTCCTTGTTCAGCTGCTTGAACCTCTCATCCAGCAACATGTTACATTTCGATCCAGCTACTGTTCTTTTCTAAGCCTCAGTTGATGAGCACACTAAAATAAATTGAAATAATGAATCATCTTGGAAATCTGAAATAGAATGTAGAACAATGGGTACCATAGACTGGGGGAATGGAGAGATGCTGATCAAATAGTAAAGACAGACAAACTGAATTTTTAAAAATTGTATTTTTTTTTAATAATGATTACATGATTGATCAGGATGGGAAGGATTGAGGTTTAGGGAAAATTGGGTGAACTCATTGCTTCGAAATTTGCTATTTCTTCTTGTTGTTCCTGGGGGAAAGGGAGAAACAAAAGAGGGAAACCACTCATGACTTCCCCCACGTTCAGTACCCAGGGATGAGGAACCACCACCTTATATCAACCCCAGGGTCTCATTGTGTACATATTCTGAGGGTTCTGTCCAAGTGGCCAGGACAGTTCTGAAATGCTGCCGTTTTCATTGATCCGAGGATGATGTCACCCTCCCAACGTCCATTGACTCCATTCATCAAGTTCTTTTGCTGTCATTGTTTGTTTGGGGTAGTTGTCCAGTTTATTCTCCTTCTGCTACAGCACTAAATGAGCTGCCATATTCTCCTTTTACAACAATGCCTATGTCCACCTTTTTCATTAACTTGGACATGTTCTTACAGGTGAGTCCAAGTACCCACACCAGGCGACCCAAGCCCCACGGGATGCCCCACTCCTGGGGCTTACGAACCTGATGTTCACCTACTAGGTGGACCCCAGGACCTGGGACAGGAGACCCAAATCCCACCGGGATCCCCCATCCTGGGGCTCATGAACCCGATACCCACCTAGTAGGCAGGCCCCAGGCCCTGGGCCAGGAGACCCAAGCCCCACCACATCCCTCACCTGTGGGATTCACGAAACAAACACCCACCTAGAAGGCACACCCCAGGATCTGGGTCAAGAGACCCAAACCACACCAGTTCCCCATCCCTGGGGCTCACTCAGCCCCTACCACACAAGTAGCTTGGACCCGCAGCACCCAGGCTAGCATGACTAGCAATCTTATTACAGCATCCGCAATCTTACTACACAGCCTGGCTTAGTCCAGTCTGTCCCCCTGTTGTTCCAGCTCCTGCTGGTGGGTGCTGCAGCCTGATTGCTGTTCTGGTCCTAATGTGAACTAGCTGGTGTTGCAGCCTGATCTGGCTCCTCCTACCCCCTGCCCTGGTTCTCAGATCTGCCAATGGGTGTTATCTGCTGACCCAGACTGGTCTGTCTCCAGACCTGACCCACATGTGTGCTGGCAGGTACTGTAACCTGGCATGGTCTGGTCTGCTCCTTGCCTTGCTTCTTGTGCTCACCTGCAGGGACTGCATCCCAATGAAGGAGTTTGACCCACATGGGTGCTTGTAGCTGGGCTGTGTGGCTGCCTTGGGGGAGGGGCGCTCGCAAAGGGCCTTCAACACCCCTTGCCTAGAGGCTTTTCGAACCAGGTGCAGATATGTACACACCGGCTCCTTGGGGACTCCTTGGGGTGGGGCAGGGAAGGAAACTTAGTGAGCCTCCAGGTTTTGACCCACATAGGTGCTTGTAGCTGGGCCACATGGCTCCCCTCAGAAAGGCGAAGCCCCTCGGGCCACCTGGCAGCGCACCCTCATGGTTAAAGGGTATTGATTTACGGGAGGGGGGGGCGGGGGATGATGGGATCGCACAGGTGGTAGTAGGAAATGCCCAGGCTAGGAATTACAGCTGAGGGACATCCATAGGTAAGTCCACAAAGTGTGTATGTAAGTAGGGGACTGACATCAAATTGGTTTGGAAGGGAGAACAAGAGAGACAGAAGTAGGTCTGATAGAATCTGGGGGGCAATGTGGGCTCATCCCTGTGGGACTACAATCTTTGCTGGCTCACCCAATTATGGTAGATGGGGTCAGGCCTTGCTGAGGAGCTAAGGGGGCATCCCAGCTGGGTTGGGGGTCTCACTGGTGAAAATGAGAGTAGGATTGAGGGCAGCAGGCGTAGTTGTACATGGCTAAAACCTGCACTGGCACAGGTGTGCACTGGGACTGTGGAATGCCAGATTGGGCTAGACTCCAGCCCCCATTGGTACTCATGAGAGCCAGGTTTGGTGTAGAACGGGCCAGGCTAGGTCTTGACTCCCACTGAACTATGTGAAAGCTGTGTCTGGGTGCAGACCAGGTACCGCTGGACTGCAACACCCAACAAGAACCAGAATGGGTGTGGCCAGTTGAACAAGGCCGCTGTTCTTGTCAGGACAGGAGGTGGACAAAGTGCTGTGCGTGAGGACTGCCACTGGGAGAAAATTAGCTTTTTTTTTAACAAGACTTAAAAGTCGGTTAAAAAGAGAAAGTGGTGCATGCGTGCGCGCGCACGCGTGTGCACACACACACACAATATGTATGGGGAGAGAGAGAGGTCATCTATATAATAATGTACACCCCACATGCCCACAGTGGCCAGGGCCAGGGTTGGGGTTATGGTTGGGTTAGAATCAGGGTTAGGGTGGGTTAGGGTCAGGGTTGAGCCAGGAGCCAGAATTCTGTGTGTGTAGTGTCCCAAGGATCTGAGCCCCTCTCCAATGCATTAGTAGGGAATGGGATCAGAAGTACAGCAGCCAGGACTCAAACTGGAATCTAGATATGATGCTGACATTAAAGGCAGCAGTTTCACCTGCATGCTGGCCCAAGGAAAAAGCTTTTCGATCTGTTGATATATGCATAGTAGGGAGAATAGAAGTCTTGAAGAACGCACTATGTATTTGATAAAAACTAGAATCAACATCAAATATCTTACTATGAAAAATGATAGGTAAGCAAAGTGATGAATATGTTAATATTCTACCCCATTGTATACAAGGATCAAAACCTTACATTGTGTCTCGTAAATACATATAATTACAGCTTATCAATCAAAATTATTAATTTATTTAGGAAAAATCTAAATTATTCATTTCCATTGAGCATTTACTGCATGTCAGGCCGTATTTTCAGTTAGGACATTTCATGATCTGACTTCATTTTTAATCCCTCAGCCTTCACTTATGCCCATCCTATGGATAAGAA